TTGTAACTCTGCAGACATACCGCTGTGCCACGTGGGGGCGATATATATATATATACACACACACACATATATATATATATATATATATATATATTGATACACAGTAATTAATGATACTAATATGTAGTATGTCAATGCAAAAGTTAAGCCATTTTTAAAGGATTGTATGGTAAATTAATACCTAAAATAGGTATGGTAATTTAAAGGTCATTCTAACAAAAAAAAACAGAAAACATTATTGAGTGTTATGAATACATGAACATTTCTTTAAACTTTACAGTATAAATAAAACATTAAAACGTCACTGCTTGTGTTACACGTTGATTCAAAGTTTGGTGTTTGCTCCAAATGTTTCACAATGAATAGGGAAAGAAATGAAAGTCAGGTATATTATTCGAATTCCAAATTTTAAGGCTTTTTCCACATGGCTGAATATTTCATGAAATGCTTTTTTTTTCCTGAAACCTGAAAAATCTCAATGAAATGGATAAAACAAATAACCTAAAAAATAAATGTTTGCTCTCATCTTAGAATGAAGAAAGTACAGTTTTGGCCAAAATGTTTGCATACTGGTCTATATTGATGTTATTGTCTACATACATAGAGTAATTATTGAGTAAATGCCTGAGTAGTAACAAGAAAGGTAGCGTATGATGTTTTGTATAAATCGGTGTGCTTTTGGTATAATCTTTTTTACAGAGCAGATCAACGCTTTGTTTAGACAATTTCTCTGTACTTGGTGTAGAGTCATGCCTTGTCGTGCCAGAAGTTATAGGGCGTCAAATTGTTCGACTGTCCAGAAATGGTATGAAGCAAATGGATATTGCCAGAAAAGTATGATACCCACAGTGTATTGTATCCAGAATCCTTAAACGTCAGCGGACTACAGGAAACGTTGTTCCAGAAAAGTCTGCTGGTGAACGCCAAAATACTACTGCCTGAGATGACTGTATTTTGATCAGGTTGACACGTCAAGGTCGAAAGATGTATTGCAACACCTTACGACAGGAATGGCATGAACACATTCATTCCAGGGTATACAGAAAATTAAGTGAATAGAAGACTGACCAAACAATGTTGTTTTGCAACAGGCTATTAAAGGCTATCTGCAAACTGAAATTGGCCAGAATCCCCCGCCGTCGTAGTGTTACTTGGGTAAGACAGCATGCGAACTTACAGTTAGGACACTGGCGACACTGGAGTCCTGTTTTCGTCTTGTTAAAGCTGATGCGAGGATTTTTGTTCGTCGTTTGCCTGAAGAACAGATAAGGGAAGCGTGTTTTTTCCAAAGGGAACACGTAGAAGGTGGCGCAGAACATGGTGGAAAAATGCTCTTCATATTATTATCCAGGGAACCGCCAATGACGTCTCCTACAGGCATCACATGGAGACGATATTTCTGCCATATGCTAGGGTAAGGTTTGGCAACAACTTTTTGTTCCACGATGATAATGACACTTCCCACAGTGCACGTATTGTAGAGAATTATCTCGAACTGGAGATAGTTACAAGATTGCCATGGTCAGCAAAGTCTCCAGATTGTAATCCCATTGAGAACTGTTGGCCAGAACTGAGCCGAAAAATTGCTAACCGCGACCCTAAATCAGCTATTGTAGCTGAGTTTCTACGCCTTCATATGACAATTTGGGATTACATCATGGTGCATTACATCAATAACCTCATCGACAGCATGCCACGTCGCCTTATAGAGGTTATTGCAGTATGAAGAAAAGCAATCAAGTACTGAATGTTTAATATGAACTGATATAAGGTTACAGATACTATCTATAATAATTTGATGTTATATTTTGTCATTATATATGTTTTGAATCCCATCATAATAATAATGCTCTTATTTGTTACCAAATATGCAAACATTTTGGCCAAGACTGTATAACCGTTAATAAAGCTTGTGATAAAAATCCAAATCCAAATATCGTTATTGTACTGATGTTTCTTAATATCATATTCGGTACTGCAGATTTCGTCCACAGAAGCTCAAGAACAGAAAGTTGGATTCTACTGTTCTGATTGATATTTTTCCACACGATACATTACAAGTTATATTTGAAGCGTTGCATTTTTGCTAGTGTAAAAATTCGAATTTCTAATATAGAAAGCTCCCTTGTGTTGTTCCAACAAGTATCCTTTTATCTACTCACAAATACTTCGACCTCGTATCATGCGACATTTTCATGTTATTCAAAACAAGCTATATAGCAAATCTAAATTACCCTTGTGTTTTAACTCATCTCTTTATTTTGGATGAAGCGACTTTAACTTTATGTGTAGGCTCTAGACAATAATCAAAACTCACATTTTGGAAATTTTCTAAATAGGTTCCTCCTCTAGGAGTCAAAAGAGATTTGGAGGTAAAGAGAACACTTTGGGTTTATATGAAAATTAGAAGAATAAAAAGAAAGTTTCGCGGCTCTCAGGATTCACTGAAATCAATAATTGAAAATTATTATGGTCATGTAAGAGATTGTTCGAAACAAGATTTTTCCCATTTCATTCCCTATAAGAAGAAAGTTTTGCGGACTTTCAGGATTCACTGCATGGCTTAAATTTTACTTGAGAAGAGACAGAAACATTTAAATAGTTATTTTAAGCAAGATGTGCAAATGTTTCACTTCTTTGTTATCTTCCGTGAACTTACTAGTGACATTATAACCTGCATAACTCAATATTTCATATTGTTATCAGACAGATAGAGAATCTCACATAAAACTTATATTTCACGTTGGATATTTTCTAACATAAATTAATGTTATTACCTTTTCTGAATATAAGATACAAACGTGAATACATCTATAATTTCACTAAAGTTTGAGAAAGATTTAAATGTCTTATTTCTTCGATTTCTATTTTAATTTTTGTCCATGCGGAAAAATCGTTAGAGGCTCGCATAAACTGTCTCATGGCTAATTTGTTGAATTTCGCGTCATATTATTCGAGGGCTATCTGCGCTAGCCTTCCCTAATTTAGAAATGATAATCTAGAGGGAAGGCACCAAGTCAAATCATCCACCGCCAACTCTTAGGCTATTATTTTACCAATCAAAAGTGGCACTGACCCTTACATTATAAAGCCCCCCACGGCTCAAAGAGGGAACATGTTCAGTAACTGGTTTCGAAAACGCGACCCACAGATTGTGAATCAAACACCCTAACCACCAGGCCGTACCAGGCCTCTTGATGTTCTTTGATTATTTTCATAGTGCTAAATATACCATAAGCAATCTTCGCTCTGTCTATCGCTCTGATCTGACAGGAAATATCGTTTGATGCATCTTGTACAATAGCAACAATAATAATAAAAAACACTCTCTTTGATCTTCACGATCTGTTATTAAGATCCGTTACTTATTATTTGATGAATAAAACTAGTTATTTGATACACGCTGTACTTTCTTTTTTGTCTTTGAAAAAGAAATATTTTTTTAGACCTACTCTTTATTCTTGCAAATTATTATTTTCACAAAATACTATATTAATAATATAGGTCAATAGATACAGACATAAATATAAAACAAATACTTATTATAACCGTCATATAACTTTTAACAAATTCTCACCAAACGTCTATAGAAGAAAACTAGTAGTTTACAATAATCTGTCAAACATAGATATTTCCAAATTAAACCTATTTTCGTATCTCTTCACTTACCTTCAATAAGCAGAAGTAACTGACATAAGGCGAGCACGAGCTTCATTTTCAGTACAGTCAGGAGACTTCAACTTTTACACTTTAAGTTTCTTATGGCGGATAGCATCATAGATGTTGGTGATTGTGCTAGCAAGTGTCCATGGTTTGAAGTATAATTAAGTAAGAAAACTTTTTATGTTGAATAAAAATTCATTACATATTTACTCAAATCGGCACCAACCAACCAGAAATATGAAATTTAACCACTATTTAATAAGGAGAGCCTACGTTTGTGTGAAATAAGCTATCACTTTTACGACAGTAAATTATTTTAAATCTTTGGGATTTCTTAAAAGAAGAACTGCAGTGAAGTTTCATCAAACTTTTCATCCTAAATTTCGTAAAATCGTCCTCATAACCTAATGATAGACTGCGACACACATTTATTGAATTTACCTTAACTTAAAGCATTTCCCATTGTTGTCTGAATAGAATTCTCCCATTCACACTTCTCGCAGGTTGTCCATAAACTAAGTTACCAACTGTGCGGGTGGTCCTATTTATTCAAGTTAAAACTCAGCTTTCTAGCAAAAGCGCCGCCCTCTCTCGAGAAGGAAATGAAACTCTAAAATATTATTGTGGATATACATATTACTTATAAACTGATAATTTCTTCTAAACAATATTCAGCGTTAATAACAAGTTAAGTTAATTTATTTTTAAGTTGTAAGGTACAAAACATTTACCCGTTCGTTACTTTCAGTCAATTTGCTATTCATCATTTCTATAGTAATATTTTACTGAAATTTCATGTTCAATTTATGACATAAATAACAAGTATATAGAATACAATGCACACTAACAGTTCTTCTGTGGTTTAAAACTATTTATTTTGTAAAATTTTAGCCTTTTCTTCATATCCCGAGATGAAAGTTGTTTGTTTTAAAGCACTAAGCTACAAAACTTGCTAGTTGCGTTGTGTTATACCTAAAACACCGATATTATAAACCCTCAAGCTTACTGTTGAGCTATCAGCCAACTCAAAAACGAACAAATTATAATTTAAAACATCGTCTTTCTTTGTTGTATTCATTCCTAAAAAGACTGAAATTTCTTCAAAAGGTTTTTAGTTACATGTCTTTTTTTTTTAAGCACAGCTATTTATATCTGTCATGCATTTTGTTAGTTATAGTATGATGGATTAAAGAGCAGGATATTGGGGCTGTAGCCATAGGCCCGGATAAAAAAAATGCCCATTATGAGGTTTAGTTTTTGTTTTACCTAAGTCGTTAACCGCGATCATAATAGACTCCGTAGAAAACTTTAGCCCCTGGCCCCTTTGACCCTTAATCCATCCCTGACTACAACATTACGTGAAACTATGAAGTAAATGAACTAAAGTATGCAAGAAAATGTTAAATGCATTCGAAAACACTAACTGTATTATATTCGAACAATATATATTATATTAAATCTAATTCGTTTTAACATTAATATAGTGATGTGCAACTTTTCCTGTTTGAAATATCAAATTAAGTATTTAGAGCTTAAGTATACCTAACTAGTTTGATTTCTGTAAATAGTACTCATTTTTTGTACTTTAAAACTTATTGTTATTATAAGTAACTCCGAAGAAGATACCAAAAAATACAGTGTTATTATTTTTTATTTCGTTTTACTTAAAGACAAACATATTAACCATATTCAGTCCACTCAGACAAATGTAATAAAAAACTACGTAAGACTATTTGAAAAGTTTGCATAAATAACTAAATGGTTTTAGTTTATTTTTACACTTAATTCCCGATTCCTAATTTTCAACTTATGTCTAAGACATCGCTTAGTATTGTAAACCTTTTCTATAGATTCATTTAACCTTTTTGAGTTAACTTTAAGAAGGAAATTCGAATAGGACACAACCTGCTTCTTTGTGTGAACTCAAACGTGGTTGTCATTATTTCAGTTGTTCATCATCTGTCTTTAACCCTTTCAAACGAACTAAGTTTCCTAACGTATTTTATTTTTTTAGTTTCGAGAAGTATTGAAAAGAACTTTGGAACTTGGTGATATATCGAAATCAAGCATAAATCGATTGTTCCTGTGGTTTGGTATGCGTGTCAAAAATTCTTTAAAATCATTTTTCAGATATAATGATGAATATAATGATAATCCACACGCGCGAGTGCTAAGACTAAAAGAACAGTCTTACACATCTTAACACAACACAAAGAAAAGCCTTGAATATTACGTTATTAGTTTCATAATTATATTTGAATATCAGATAATAAAATTTTATAGTCTAATAAAACCCTACCCAAAAACCGGAACATGTGAAGCTGAATTTCAGTTTACGAATAAGCATATAGATTGTAATTTGTTAAATAATTAATCAAATACACGTTGATAAAAACTACTCAGATAAAAAGCAAAATATCCCCTACAACATGATATATGCGAAGCTAGTTTTGGTATGAAATCCATTGTCTTTCAAAGCCACATCCTCTATAATATTTTTAATGATACATCAATACGAAACAAGATTTTTTTTCGGGGTACTTATTTAAGACAGTCCTTTTTCTAAACGTTCTTACAGCCACTTTAATGAAACTGAAATAATATAGATATTAACAATAGAGTCTCGTTGTTTTTCGCCTTTTATTGGATACGTGTAAATATGCTTGAAGCGACATAACGTGTTATAATAAATGGAGCTGAATAAGTTTCTTATCTTTAGGCACGCGTGACTACACCGGAAATCCTTATTTCTTTGCTACTTTGTAATTATTTTGTCATAAGTTGGAAGAAACAGCAACCGTATTTGATAATTTGTTTAGTATACGAAGCAAAAATCAAGGAGTCTAACAAAAGAAGGTATTAATTTTTTTATCTCAACCCTTTGACAAAGCCTACCATAGGAGTTTTCCCATCCATTATTTATTTTCTGAATAAAATTTCCTGAGTGAACAGAATCTGGCAAAGAACTTAGATCGCGTTACATATTTTACGTAACAGAGTGGGCAATGATTATGCAAGGAAATGTTGCCTGTAAAAAATATATATTATTGTTGTCTTTTTGTTAAACAACGTTTATCTCGATTGCCTGAAATAGCCTTGGCATTGTGATTGTTTTTAAGGTTCTTATGATAAGCAAGACGTTCCTATTATTCCTGTAGTCACAAGAAAAGAAAGTAATAGCTGCAACTTACGACCTTATACAAAAAAGTAACTATAACATAAGGCGATTTCTAAGAAAGGCATAAGTGAACGTCTCGGATCTTTTAATTTTCAAGTTCACATTCTCTACTGTATTGACCAATACCGTTGATGAAAACAATCTTACTGTTATGCAAACGTTGAATTATTTTAAATTCGTAAAGCAAATACCGTGAATGTTCTTATAATGCCCTCTAGCCAAGTTCTTCTTAAAGATGATTTGACGTCATCTGCTTTTGTTTTTCTTTCTTACAAGCGTAAAAGACGAATCAATGAACATATAAAGGTAGCCATTAAATATTCTCCATTTTATGAAGTCGTCCTTAATGATATACGTAACTTTAAGACAGACGTGAATATATGACAAACAGAAATAAAACACACTTGTGATTCAAAAGAATGCTTATTATTATTCGGTATAAGTGTTCTAGCTTTTAGTAGATACAATACATTTGTTTGCAGAACACGAACATAAGTAATATGTAAAACCTCAACCACAAGCCCACGTCACCTTCTTAAAAAAATTGTAAAAACCCTCATTTTCATCATAGATTCAACACACTCATTATAAAATAAATTTTTGTTCTTGGATCCACCTTTCTTGTTTTCTGACAGTTAATGGTTACTTTATTGGAAATCCCTCTCCACACACATTTGTGGAACCGCCAGTTTCTTTCTTTATGAAAACTAGAATGATAACATGATGTGCTAAACGATATCTAAAGTCCTACAAATCCAGAGATGTTATGTACAAGTGTTTCTTTAACAGGATCCGTTCAAATACACCTGTCTTGGGAGATTATCAATAGTTTCATTTGAAAATGAGTACGTTTGATACCAGAAAAACTGGTCCGTCAATCGCTGGTGACAGACTGGGCCTTGTAAAATTCAATTGACTGATTCCTTCACATGTGTTTTTAATATTCGACCGTATTATGTCAAGTGACAGAATAAAACTAATAACATAACCGTTTATAAACTATCAAAAAAAGAAACTGCAACATGAGTGATGCTTATAACACAACTATGAACAATGAATGAATAGTAATGTGTGATGTGCAACTCATCACTCCACATCACACACTAATACAGTCACAATGAATTGACAATAGAGTAAAAACATGGAGAAACCCATATGAGCGCTTTATTTTGTTTGGGTATTTCCAACAATGTAAGTTGATGGAGAAAGTATAATGGTGTGGTAAAAATTTCGATGCCAGTGATCGTGTCCTTTGATTCTTATAGGAAAACAAATAATTCCAGTACCTCTTCACATCTTACAATGTTACATTTTAATGGATCGGGCTCTTCCGAGATGAAAATGTAATATTCTACCATAATCCCATAGTAAAAACTGGTTTCAACTACTTGACAGTGATTTCATTACATCCCTTGGCCAGTACAATAATTAGATCTCAATTCAATTCATCATCTTTGAGAAGGACATACATTGTGCATGCGCTACTGTAATTTTCTTTCGATATCTGTGAATCAATTACAGAATATATTTATAAGCACGACGCAAAAACCAATGGAGTTCCGAGCGAAAAGGCGCATAGAAATAACCGTATTATGTATATTCATTACCTTTAGGATAGATCAGACACTCCTAAGGATCAGACATGGTCATCAGTCATCTCTAATTTAGAACAGCTGACCGAGGGAGGACAGCCAATAAGCACCTCCCGCTGCATACGTGGTTACCCTTAACCAAGTAGCGGGATTGACAATACAGCATATCAACGCTTGAGCCTTGGAATTTCTAACCTGCAACTTGGCGCCCACTAACTACTAGGTCATGCCTGACTGCTCATCAGTTTTATTAGGTCAGTGACAACCTTCATGGTAAATGCATTGCACATGTTCAAATTCAGTTTTATATATATATACTGTCATTTTTTACTGTAAGAGCCTACAGTTTTTTACTGGGCGTATTTACAGAAGGTTAGATAAACTTTATAAAGCTGGAATTATTTGTCACCACAGGTGCGAGCGTATCGCCACAGGTGTCATGTTTAGCACTTATATATTTCTTTTGTTTTTTTTTAATTTCGCGCAAAGCTACACGAGGGCTATCTGCGCTAGCCGTCCCTAATTTAGCAGTGTAAGACTAGAGGTAAGTCATCACCACCCACCGCCAACTCTTGGGCTACTCTTTTACCAAAGATTAGTGAGATTGACCGTCACATTATAACGCCCCCACGACTGAAAGGGATAAAAAGTACTACGTACTAAAATGGCCACCTGTCTATTTATTCATGGTTTCAAATAAATGGCTTGCATAATCATTGAA